CGTTAGAACAGTATAATACAAAGAAAAGTTATATATTGTGCCCCCCACAAAAATGTAAGGCCCCCCAGTGCCCCCGCGCTGAAAAAATCCTAGCTACGCCACTGGCTGTGTGTCAGCATGCAGCCTGCAGGGAAAGAATCTCACGATACGCAAAAAGTACCTGCTTTATACATTGAAAACAACCTATCGCGGGTACTGTGTTTGTCTCTCGCCCTAAAGTTTGAGCTATACGATACCGCTGATGAAATCAACGTAACCTAAAGTTCACCTATAAGTATAACGAATTTACATATTAGGCCAAACAAAAAAATACATTTGGTTCGGGTCACATGGATTGTGAAAATTAGTGTAGGTAGGTAGGTAGGTATAACATTTATTTTATTTATTTTTTTCACAAGTTAAATATACAGCTTGAAATGCAGCTTGAAATGCAGCTTGAAGGCATTGAAGGCAGCTTGAAGGCATACAGCTTGAAATGCAGGAGCCACGAGATGCAAATTGAAAAAAAAAATCTGTTTTTTTGAAACCCTCTAAAAGTGACCGCAGTCGCACATTTTTCCACTCCGAAATGTGAAGTCGGGCGGGTGACCCGAACCAAAGGTAATTTTTTGATCGGCCTAATAGGCTATCCATATCAATGCTATTATCGACGTGCGGCGTCTGACGTCCGCCCCTCCCCGCGTGACCTTCGTCTCCCCGTAGGTCACCTTGACCGGGTCGTGCATGGACTCGTGGCTGAGGACATCCTCGCCGCGTGCGACGAGGGCCTCGGCGCCGCGGCAGACGACACGCCGACGACGTCGTCTCAGAACCTCATCATGGCGGTCCGGCGTCGCAACGTCGCCGCGATACGCACCGTCGCCCAGCGCAACCTGCAGCAGGGCATCGGCATGGCGCAGACGCCCGTACTGGTAGGTGGCGCCACCCGCTCCCCCGCTCCCCCGCTCGCCGCGATACGCACCGTCGCCCAGCAGGGCGTCGGCATGGCGCAGACGCCTGTACTGGTAGGTGGCGCCACCCGTGCCGTCGATCGGCGGCGGCAGGGAACAGCGAGGCGGGATACGGAGCAATTACTGTTTTATTATTATACATTTTAATTATGTTGTATGTTATGTTTAATATTACCATATGTAATGTATTATATTACAGAGGGATACACTATTTTTTTATCATATATGCTATATTATTTTATTATCATAACATTATATATTATGCTTAGTATTATACATTATTTTGTTATGTCGCATTTTTATATTTATACGATCTTGTACGCATTTCAATCTGTACCATTCGCGTATCGCGGGCGCAAAACGGTGATGTACGACCGGTGATTCACACGAACATTAAACGAACTATTCCGCAATTCCTTTCGTCACTTCTTAATCGTTTGCGAAACGCGCGCTCACGCCTGCCTGTCGTTGCTTTTTCGCTCAGGTCAACCAGGAGGTGTCGAAGGACAAGTCGTACCCGCTGCAGATACAGGGCCTGCGCACGAACCCGAGAGACCCAGACGCTCACGTGCTGTTCTTCGACATAGAGAGAGAGAGAAACAGACAGATATAATTATAATACTACTACTCCCCACTGGTAACACCACCCCTCCTCCATCGCCGTTTGCATCTCCTTCTTCCCCTCCTCCTTCTCTTCTTCTTCACATCTCCTCTTTCTCTCGTGCAGGAAGAGGAGGAGCTACCGGGAGGCGGCGCGCCAGCAGCAGCAGCAGCAGGGCGGGGACGAGGCAGAGGAGAACGTCTTCCTCGTGCATCAGGCTCAGATCAAGCAGGGATGGAGTCTGCTGGCTGCGCTGCACTGCGTGCTGCTGCCAGAACTCGTCGGGCTGAAACACTACAAGGTTCCATTGCTTCACATGCTCGCCCGCAGGTGGCAGGACCGCTGCCTCGAGGTGAGACGCAGCTGCGCGCGTGTATACGTGTCCAGCTTAACGTAGACGGTTTATGTATACATCTTATGTATTCAGGTTATATGTACAGCTTATGTGTTCGATTTCTGTATCCAGTTTATGTATCCAGCTTATACCTACAGTGTACGTCTCTAGCTGATGTATACAGCTTATGTATCTAGCTTATACATACAGCTTATGTATCTAGCTTATACATACAGTTTACGTATCTAGCTGATGTATATCACACTGTCTTCGTCATTGGGTGCGGGACATAGTAGCTCACGCAGCACATGCGTGGAGAGTTTCACCAGGAATTCCACACAAAAATTTTACCGTTTCAATTTTTTTTTTTTAACTCGGTCGCTCGTTAATTTTGCACTGATCGTCTAAACGTCGTCTCGTCCGAAATTAGGAGCGGGACGTAGTAACTCGTGCGCAGAGTTTCGCCGGAAATTCTACCCAAAACTTAGCGCTTTGATTTTTTTTCGAACTCTGTCTGTCTGTCTCTCACACACTCTCACACTTTCTTTCCCTCACTCTCTCTCTCTCTCCCTGTCTCGCTCTCTCTCTCTCTCACTCTCTCTCCCTGTCTCGCTCTCTCTCTCTCTCTCTCTCACTCTCTCTTTCTTCGAACTGTTAATTTTCGCTAATCATCTAAACGTCGTTAGGTGAGGGAGGCCGCGCAGGCCCTCCTGCTCGCGGAGCTGAGGAGGATCGGTCCGGAGGGGAGGAAGATGCTGGTGGAGGACTGGGCGCCCTACCTGCCGACCTACGTCGACCCTCGCGTCAGCCTCATCCAGGAAGGTGAGCGCGCGTACGCATGCGGACGCCAGGTGGCGCCTGCGTGGCATGCGACCGTCAGTCGTGGTGGCTGTCTCCGCTGCCGCTAGTGTCGCCGCCGCCGCCGCGGTCGTCGTCTCTGCCTGAGGTGGTGCCGGAGGCGGTGCGGGTCAGCCGCGCCCTCCCCTCCGCGCCCGTGCGCGTGCCGGGGGTGGCGGCGGGGAGGAGGCGCGCGCACAGGAAGGGCGTGTGCGACAACGATGCTGGTTCGCTCGCCACGCACTTACTAGCAACCCTCAGGAAACAGGTCAGCAGTAGTAGTCCCGCCCCTCCCCCGCAGGCGGGGGAGGGGGCGTGAGAGATCAGCCCAACGATCTATATATAATACAATATATTACTGTATATATATACTATATATATATATATACATAATATATATACAAATATATCTATATATATATCTATATCTATATATATATAGTCATAGTAGATAGTAGAAGTCCTCTTCAAGGGTTACCACCCCCTGGACTGTGCGGACTGGCTGCTATTTCCAACACCGGTGAGATCATGGAAGTCTGCGCAGACACGCCCCCCGCCCCGCCCCGCCCACCACACGCGCGGATCAAACTTTCCACGTTCTTGTGTTTGCGTGTTTGCGGTCACGCGCCTCGCTGCCTCGTGTTCATCGACGACGACGATGATGATGATTATGACGATGACGTCGTTGTCGTTTGTTAATCGACGCGATGCCACGGCTTGGCGTGTATCTTGGGTAGAGATGTCTCAGTGGATTGATCTTGCTTTCCACATCTCTATGTATAACATGTTTAACATGTAACTAACACATCATGTCTTAACATCGTGTTATCTGCTCCTCATTGCTGCATTATGTTCCATTATTATGTCACGGTGAGTTTTAGTTAGATTTCTGTAGGTTTAGTTGGTTTTTTTTTGGTGTGTAGGCGTCTGCACACGTTTCTTGCCTGCAATATGCAGCACGGTATACTTATTCTTGTGCACGCTCAAGTTATTTCAGAATGGTCAATGGACTAAAACTTGTTCAATTATGAAGTTTCTATTCGTTGTATTTTATTTCTTTTATTGAATTTAACTTTATGATTGATTAAAAAATTGATCTTTTTTTGGCATTCCGAATGCTTTACACAAAAACAAGAGCAGAAGTAACTGTGCGTGAGCGCGTGCGTGCGTGCGTGCGTGCGTGCGTGCGTGCGTGCGTGCGTGCATGTAGGTGTGATAGACAATTACCGATCGTCGTACACGTTTTGTTTCATTACTGTGTTATCAGGAGTGTATCAATATTTGTATTGATACACTCCTGGTGTTATCTCAGTTGTTTTCTTTGTAGCTTGTGACGTGTGAGTGTAGTTTAGCGCGCTCATGCAGTCATAGGCTGCTGCGGTGGCGTGTGCAGTGACACTTGCATGCTTTTCCAGTCCCTACCGACAATGGCCATACATCGCAGCTTCACCGCACCCGTTCTGCGTGCGCAGAGTCCCACCAAGGTTTATGTATACTTATAACTAGTCGTCCTATTGCCGAGTGGACAAATTACTAGTAACTACCGAACTAGCAACTACCTAGTAGTTCGAGGACGGAGACGGGAATTTTCAGTTTCACGCTGGGAAGTGGCGCGTTGCTGCCGCGGACCGCGTTTGGGTCCGGTTTTAATCGGGGGTAACTTGAATGAACTTGAAAACTTCTGTCTCTTTGAGATTTTCTTGTCTCTGCACTCGGTTTGTAATGAGTAACTTCAGTAGCAGAATGTAGGTTTAATGGCACTAGTGTGCCTCAGTAGCAGGTTGTAGAATTGTACTAGTGTACGTGTATGACTGCTCGTTGGTCCTTGCCTCCAACCTTCCACCCATCAACGTCCTTCCAGTGTTGATGTTTAGCAAGTTGCTGTCAAATCCGAAAATATGTCGTCTGGGAGGTGAATGAGTGTAGGTCAAAGGGCAAATATTCTATCAAATTTTTGGATTGTTTGATTTTTGGAATTAAATACAGGTATAACTGACATCATGTACGTGTGCAGCTGACTGAACGTTTTTTGGTAATTTGACACGATAAAAGACTAATTGAATGTCAGAAGTCGAAAGTTATCTATGAGCAAATGATCTTATAAACCAACCTAGTAACATTTTTGACTCGCAGCTAGCCCACAGTTTCGTTAACTTCATTCAAAGCACCATAAAATTTACATGCTACGCATCTTTGTTGTAACATTGCAACTTTTTCCGTCTTCTTCACGATATTTTGAGAAGGAAAGGACGTGTGTTATTGTTTATATTTGAAATTCAAGGTCGATATTGAAGGTCATTTTTCTACATTCTATAAACGATAAATATAAGTAGTAAGCCTATATACACAGGTTCTTCATTAGCCATTGAAACAACTCTATTCTGTTCGCTCCACATGCCGATGAAAAATAAAAATTGTCACCTTGACTCAGATTGTGTGTAGAACCGCCTGTAACTAACACACCTACATCCCAGTAGTGATGTACATCCGTTAGATGTACTGCGTCATTACGCCGTCAATCATACTAGATCTAGAGAGTCTAGACGGACAGTGTAACTCGTAGGTGTATAGAGGTTATTATATATAGAGGTACTCTATAGGCGTGGCCATAGAGGTTTGTTACTGACATCGCGTCACATCGCAGCCATTGCTGTGAAAACAATGAGTCCACAGAGGCCAGCACGTGATTGGCTCGCGCAGACGCGGGCCATGACTATCAGACGATAATGTCGCGCGTACTCGGGTCCCCGTCTCCATGCCTACTCAAGCACCAAGCCGACATGTAGATGTTTGTCCCTCGTCCCTAGAGAGATTCCGCCATTCTGCTTTCCCCGTCTCTCTCTCTCATCTCTAGCCTAGTCTCTCTTCCCTCTCTCTCTGTCTCTTCTCTTTTCTCTGGTGTCCCCCCTGCTTCCCTCTCTAGCTTCTCTCTATCTCCTCCCTCTCTCCCCTTCTCTCTCTCTTCTCTCCGTCTCTTTTCCATCCTCCCTTACCCCTCTCACTCTCTTCTCCACCCCCTCCTCCGCTTCCGCGCACCCCGACCTTCGACTGACCTACAGTCTCTCATCTGCTCCCGCGCACCCCGACCTTCGACTGACCTACAGTCTCATCTGCTCCCACGCACCCCGACCTTCGACTGACCTACAGTCTCATCTGCTCCCACGCACCCCGACCTTCGACTGACCTACAGTCTCTCATCTGCTCCCACGCACCCCGACCTTCGACTGACCTACAGTCTCTCATCTGCTCCCATCATCATCATCATCTCCATCAGCATCATCATCATCATCATCATCGTCTGCATCGTTGTTACAGCATCTCGCTGGGACTGCCGCTGTCGCCGGCCGCCGACTCCTGCCGCACGGCCCGTCACTCTCTCTCGCTGATCGCGACCGCACGACCCGCGGCGTTCATCACGACGATGGCGAAGGAGGTCGCTCGTTACGTCGCCATGGCGGCGAGCGCGCCCGCGCAGAACGCCAACCTCGGCTCGCACGTGCTCGTCAAGTCGAAGCCGGAGATTCTGCGCGTCGTAGGCGAGTACAAGCGTTGAAGGTCGTAGGATGTCGCATACGCGCAGGCTATGTGTAGCGCGAAAGTGTGGGTTGGGCGGCCACCCTTAAAAAATTGTTTGTTTTCCCTTTACCTACTCGCCTCTCAGGGTACCGAGTAGGTAGGTAGGTGAGAAATCCTTTTTTATTTTGTTTTAACAAGATGTGTGTATGTATATTGTATATTCTGTTTTTTGTATGTGTTTTTGCAGAACGAATTTGATTTTTTTTTTAGGCGAAATGAAATAAATTTTGTTTTGTTGTAATCGGTCAATAAAATGTGTCGAGTAGCGGCGTTTTGGCGAGTCGGTCGGTAAAGGGGAAACAAGCAATATTTTATCTTAGGCCTTGTATCGTGTATACGTGTGCGTACTGTCTGAGAGTGACAGAGTGGGTGTAGGTCTATACAAGTGTGAGATCTTTGGTATTTTACGAGTGTTTGCGGTTGTGTGTAGCACGGGGGTTTGTTGTCAGAAATAAATTTAGTCTTAACAATAACATATGTGAGGAATATATAGTTTTACGCAGCACAAGCGTTCATGGTAAGCTTGCACGTACATCACACGTGCACAGCGTACCTGATCGTCCTCCGCCCCCCTCCCTTCCTCTCGACGGCGTTCGAGCGTCTGCATCTGATGCTCGCTTGTTTTGTGCGCGCAGAGCTGTTGATCGACAAGCTGCAGATGGACGTGATCGACCTTCTCATAACGCTGTCTCCCGGATCCCTGGAGGCGCACGGACGCATAGGGCAGGCCGAGGCAGCCAAGCAGATGTCACTGCACCAGTCCAGCCACCCAGCAAAAATATCAGGTGTGCGTTGCCCGCGGTTGTCGTCCCGCGCACCCACGTCGATGACAGCCTGCTTCGTTATTTGCTCAGATTTGTTCGATTCATTGCCGTCCGAATCGTCTTAACCGCGTAATCTCGTACTTGGGGTCGCGATCTGGCTGAGGTCTTACTGTGCCTGGGGTCTCCATCTGTCTGGGGTCCCTCTCTGACGGCGGGTCACCTTGCGTTCTTATTGCAGGGCTTCTTGGCAAGATCAAGGACAAGGCAGAGGACGTGAGTCATCGGCTGCAGACGGCCAGCTTCCTTCCCCCGGAGCGGGGATTGCATCCCGGTGAGTCGCCGAGTCTCAAGTTCCTTCACAGCCCCACGCGTTCCCCCATCGGCTCCCCCATTTGTCTCACAGGACGAGATGCCAACCACTACGATTTATTCGTATTTTATACGAATTTCTATTCCTTTTGCACCACTACGACCAGTTTGTATCAAACTACGAATTTTCCTGTGATCTAAAAAAAATTTTTTTTTGTCAATTTATTGTCATTTTTGACCCTCACAATGCAGGAAATTGCATCTCAGAATCAAAATTTTTTCCGGGGGGCATGCCGGTCTCCCCTAGCAAACTCGGGTCACTACGTGACCCTCTAACTACTAATTTGATAGCCAGAAACTACAGATTGCTTCAAATATGTGTTGGCATCTCTGCCCCTGCGTCTCGCCCATGTTTCGCGTCTCACCCGACCCCCCCCCTTCCCACCCCGCTCAACTCACCCTACCCCTCGCTCCTGCCCGCAGGTGTGACGCGGCAGGGTGGCGGCGGCGGCGGCGGCGGGCGGGACGCCGCGGCCGTATCGCAGTACCTCAAGCGGCCCGGCTACCTGGGCCTCGCCGAGGAGAACCTGACGATGGACATCGGTCAGCTGCTGCTCTCCTGCCTGCACGCGTGGGACCTCGACTCCGACCTTGACCAGCTGTGCGTCGGGAAGCTGGGACTGCTGAAGCCCTTCATGCCCGTCTCGTTCGGCGTGCTCTCCGCCGGCGGGTACATGTCGCTGCTGCTGCCGACGCACAAGCGCAAGCACCGCCGCCACTCGAAGGTCGAGAAACAGAGCTCCTTGCAGGAGCAGCACCAGAAACTGCTGGTAGGTGGAGAGGGAGGGGGAGGGGGAGGGAGAGGGGGGAGGGAGGAGGTAAGAGAGAGCGAGCTAACAATGACAGAAACCCGACCTTCGCCTTGCAGCAAACGTACTAATTATAGCACGCGCGCACTATCTCACGTACATGCGCAATGTTTGCCGGGTTGCTATGGCAACGCGCGTCTTGCATAGCTCAACAGGCGCTACCTCTGAGCCCCTCTCGGCTCGCTGTGAGAGTGTGAGTGTCGCTGCCGATCTCGAGACAGACCGTATATGTAACGGTTGCGTGGCAACAGGTCGTCCTAATCTGGAGACCAATCTTCACGCCGCTTTTAGAAGCTTCTGCAAGAAATATTACGCTCGTTATTAAACTGCTCAATCAGAGCTCCCACGGCAATCCAATTAAAATTTACCACTTCATTTTATAATGCACGCTTAAACCTAATAATGTCGTGCATACGACGATTCAGAAGCAAATTGTTATTGCGCAGAGCCTGCTTGCTGACGGGTACCTACACCCACTCACACTGACACTCACACACACACACACACACACACGCTCTCTCTCTCTCTCTCTCTCTCTCTCTCTCTCTCTCTCTCTCTCTCTCTCTCTCTC